TCTTTGATGTAAATCATAGCAATATGCTTTAGGATCTGTATCCTAAGGCAAAGGAAACAAAAGTAAAAATAAACAGGACCTAATTAAAGTGAAAAGCTTTTGTACAGCAAAGGATACCATCCACAAAATGAAAAGATAGCCTATTGAATGGGAGAAAATAATTGCAAATGATATGACTGATAAGGGGTTAATATTCAAAATATATAAACAGCTCATAAAACTCAATATCAAAAGAAAAACAAACAACGCAGTTAAAAAATAGGCAGAACAACTGAATAGACATTTTTACAATGTCTATTCAATTCATTTTTACATTTTAAATGTTGGCGAGGTTGTGGAGAAAAGGAAACCCTTGTACACTACTGGTGGGAATGTAAATTGGTATAACCAGTATGGGAAATAGTATGGAGGTATCTCAAAAAATTAAACTATCATATGATACAACAATCCCTCTACTGTGTATATATCCATAGGAAATGAAATCACTCTCTTGAAGTGTTACCTGCACCCCTATGTTTATTGCAGCATTATCTAGAATAGTCAAGACATGGAAACAACCTTGGTGTCCATAGATGGATGAATGGACAAAGAAAATGCGATGTGATGTGATACACACACACTGAAATATTATTCAGCCATAAAAAAGAAGAAAATCCTATTATTTGCAACAACATGGATGAACCTTGAGGGCATCATGATTAGCACAATAAATCAGACAAAGAAAGACAAATGCTGTATGATCTCACACATTTGTGGAATCTAAAAATCCTAAACTCACAGAAACACAGAGCAGATTGGAGGGTGCCAGAGGCAGATGGGGAAGGTACGGGATGACTGAAGACTGACAAAGGGTTACAAACTTATAGTTACAAGAGGAATAAGTTCTAGGATGTAATGGACAGCATGGTGACTATAGTTAACAATACTTATTGTATATTTGAAAGTTGGGAAGACAGTAGATCTTAAAAGTTCTCATCACACAAACACAAAATTTGTAATTATTTGAGGTGATAGATATGTTAACTAACTTTATTATGGCAGTCATTTTGCAACATATACATATCAAATTGTTATACTGTATACAATATTATATGTCAGTTATTTTTCAACAAAGCTGGAAAAATGAAGAATATTTTTAATCTATGTAATGATAAAATGTAATTTATTTTGTAATGAATGCAGTATAATAGTAAGATGTAAATAGTTTAATCACTACAACTAAACCCTAGAACTAAAAAACTTCAAAATACATGCATCAAAAACTGATAGAACTGTAAAGACAGACAAATCTAGAATTATAGTTAATGACTTCAACACTCTTCTTTTGGAAATTGACAGAACAAGCAGACAGAAAATCAGTAAGTGTACTGAAGACTTAAATACCACCATCAACCAACTGGAACTGATTGATATTTATAGGGTATTCTACCCCAAAACAATGGAATACAAATTCATTTTTAGTGCCCACGGAACATTCACCAAGACAGACCATATTCTGGGCAGTAAAACAGGTCTCAATAAATTTTAAAGGATTGAAATAACAAGGAGTATGTTTTCTTAAAACCCATCTGAACCAGAAATCAAGAACAAATACCCCTATATTTGGAAATTAAACAACATACTTCTACATAACCAATGGGTCAAAAAAGAATTCACATGGTAATTGTAAAATTATTTTGACCTATATAAAAATGAAAATAAAACATATCAAAATTTGTGGCATGTAGCTAAAGTGGTGTTTAGAGGAAAATTTATAGTATTAAACACTTTTATTATGAAAGAACAAAGACCTAAAATCAGTGACCTACGGTTCCACTTTAAGTAACTAGTAAAAGAAGAGCTAATTAAACCCAAAGTGAGCAGAAGAAAGAAAATAATAAAAAAAGTATGAAAATAAATTCTTACACTTAATAAAATTTAGGTCACTATCAAAACCAGAGCTAGACGCAATGGATTACTTAAAATGAATAAAACTGAACTACTGAATTTATACCACCAAAAATAAAAAAAAGCCATAGTGCAGTTTTCATTAAGATGAAAAGGGAATGAGACATTTTGGCTGCCTGTATACAGTCTCTGTCAACACTGCATTATGACAATAAGATACCATTATTTTCTTTTTTGGCTTTCATAGGGCAAATATAGAGTTAGATTCTCAAATTTTGAAAATTGCCTAAAGACTTACCTTAAATTCTTCATAATAATATCATTATTTTTAAAGCACTGCGTATGATCATTTTCTTTTTTACATTTTTTTTCCAATTAACTAGTTTAACTCTAGGAGATCTTTGTTTGTGTAATTTGAGGAGTTCCCCAATGTCACTTTCACTAACAATGAAATCCTACAACTTTTAATTAACGTTTGTAATTAATTTGTACTAATTTTCATTAGGTTGCTGCAATCCAACAATCATCTAGAGATTTATCTACAAAAACTCTGTAGAGATGGGTAGAGATAGACTTAGATGCTAGCAGAGAATGTTGTTTGGGGGAAGATGTTGGGAACTAGTTCCAGAAATGTTCAACATATTGGTGAATATTTTCCTATTACACCGATACTCGTTTTTCCATTCATTTTTAAAGTGTGTGATCTCATATAATGAAAGCTTATTCACACCTTAGGGATTATTCACTCCTTGTATTACAGATACAGAGGGTCGAGTGACTTGACCCAGGGACACAGGAGCAAATGTAAGAGACCAAACCTAGGTATCCTTAATCGGTATTGTTTTTAAAACACCATGTGGCAGTAAAATATAGATATATCTCAGACATCAATCCCAGAAGAGTTTTCCCTACTCCAAAGGCCATGATGCATACATTCAACTAAGTTTCCACGATGCATACATTCAACTAAGTTAAGGTATGATATGTATTTTTACTATAAATATCAGGAAACTGGATCTCAGGTATAATAAATAATTTTTAAAAAGACATACAAGGAAGAGACCACTCTCATACATGTGTGCAAATTAATATGCCTCTCTTCTCTATTTTTATCTCTTTATATGCTCTCAGCAATGTATGTACATGAAGTTAACCAAAATTTTACATCTAAAATGAAGTCTTCTATTTAAATAGTGCCTTTTTCCAGTTAACAAACCTTAAGACGTTGATCCATTCTTTTCCTAGCTACGCTACATAAAAATCCTTCAAAAAATAATGCATTTGAGGTGCCTGCCCAGAGCAAATGATAAATGATAAAATTAAAGTGTACAAAATGTCAACCGTAGATGGTGCACACTTGCTCTTCTTAAATAAGCTTTGCTGTTTAAAGAAAATGAACAAACAACCAAAGAAACATACAAAATCCCTCTCAATATGAACAGTATAACAAGTGAGAACTCTTGAGAACTAACCAAAGAAACCAAAAATCCCAATGTAATTTCTTGCAAATGATCCTCTACTGTTTGGGGGTTTGGTTTCAGAACTGAGCAAAAACAAACAAGCAAAACAAAGAAACAAACTATCAAAGTTTTCGGCACTATACTATGAAAACTAATAAAAGAACGCTTGTCAGAAGTCAGTTAAATGTCATTAGGGAGGAAGGAGTCTGTGGTGCATAGCAAGACCCAGGTGAGTATGACAAGATGATCACATCTAAGGTGGATGATTTTGGACAAAGAAGGGAAAGAAATATAACAAAAACTGGGTTGACATTTTTCTTTATTCTATAGTTCACCTTTAACTAGGGCCCTGAATATGGACCTCTGCTTTCCAAATAATGCTTTCTTTTTAACCCAAATTACTTCATCAAGGGAAGGAAATCTAGGAGTGCTTTCAAACATGGTTGTAATCTGAGTTACATGGGTCACTGTATTCCTTTTTAGATTTTGTTTCTGTGGCTTCACACCATGATTCCTAAAACAAAATCTCTGAAGATGAAGCCAAATGCCATGATGAATCCATGATTATTTCAGTAGATCATATTCATCCATAAATTTATAAGTCGGGGCTTTAAAAAAACTCTCCATCTAATAAGCTGCCTCATTCATTTACAATCAAATACCCTTTTATATTTATCAAAATGTATTTTTAAAATTATGAATTAATCAAATATATGCTAATAATTGTAGCATAATTCAATCCAGAAGAAAACGATGATCACTGGTGCCTTAGAGTCACAGGAAATTTTAAAAATTAAATCTTCCATTTATATACATTCTTATTGCAGGTGTGTTTAGTTTAGCAACAAAAGTATGATTAGTTCAAGTGTAAAATTATATTGAATTTTAATAAAATTCTGCAGGATAAACAGGACAGAAATACAAGTTCAACTAGACAAAAGAGTGATGTAAAATTTCTAACTGATAGTGAAAGCTACAAAACATACAAATATACAAGGTTGGTATCAAGAAACTATGATATTTAGATTCCAGTAGATATGTTTTAAAGAGTTACATTAATTTTAAAATGTCAATATCTGCAGTATGTTAGAAATTATAGCCTTTGGAACTATTTAAACTTATGATGAAACTTTTTTGATGCCAACTTTAAAATGTGTGAGTGGGTATATGGTTTTCAAAATGCTTTTAAAATTCGTATAGACCATTGCCCTGCACTATGATAATTTTACAGAAGACAAACAGGCTCCCTAGTCTGTGCCCAAAATGAATGCTTTCCTTCAGCTGTATCGTTTCAGATCATAGACATACAGCCCTCCCTCGCTTGCTAATGTGATTTTAAAAAACTTTCCCAATGATTACCTGATTTATGCTATTGGAATGAACACCCTTTATAATATGGATCTATGTAAATTTAAAAGTAGGTAGTAGTTCATAAATAGACTATTTTTAAGCCAAATTTTAAGTATTTGGCATTACAGATGCTTGAGGTGGTTCCTGCCTTGCCTCCTCCTTTGGTAGTGATAATTGAGTGTTTAAGTGCCTCTATAATTTGTAAACCCATTACTAAGTAACCTTTAAAAACTTAATGTGATGACTTGGGAATATTTTAATTTGATCATTAGCCACATAAATGTTTTGAGGAATAGTACTTACCCTCTGTTATATTTTGCTATTTCATTAAACAGAAGTTTCCACCGAGGACGTCCAATAAAAAGTCTTGAATTCAGTGCTTGATATTTTTCTCCAATTATCTTCTGCCAAAAAGAAAGTACTATATTTTATATGACACAGAGTGGGACAAATAACCCAGTTCTCTAACATCATCTTTGCTGGTGCTGTGGCTTCCTAACAAATTGCTGTGATATAAAGAATATAAGTATCATATGGCAACCTATTAGGTAAAGTCATTTAGAAGCATCATTTCCTCCCTCTTTCC